CATGAAGCACCAAACCGAATAACGGGACAAAACCAACCGGAATGCAGATAAGATTACCACAACAAGATTACCAGTCATTTACTTTGTTTATGGTGGGATGCGTCATTTAATTTGTTTTACTAACAGGCCTTCCTTCCCTTGTCCTTTCTCCAACGTTTTTGTAAGCACCATAACAAATCTACCATATCCATAGTCAAAGAAAACGGAAACATACAGTAGGCCCGCAAAACAGAATACCCCAGCAACATATATTGTCACACTGTAAATCAGAGCGCGAAGGCGAAAAAAAGCAAAACAAGGAAAGGAAAAGAAGGAAGGAAGGAAAGCCCCACCTGTTCATCACCTCTTACGTACAAGGTCAGCCACGTGGATGACAGGTTGAGCGCTGGCTGCCCCCATCCCCGTGTGTCACAAGGACCCACTTGCACGCAGCCAAAAGGCAAGGAGGTAAAGAAAAGGAGGAGGAAACCAAACCTGACAGGGAAAGAAAGATAATCCAGTTGCCACAAAGCAAATAACACATCCCACAGATCAACATATCTTTTCTTTTTTCTTTTTTTCTTTTTTTCTTTTTTTCTTTTTTTCTCTTTTTTTCTTTTTTTCTCTTTTTCTTTTCTTCTTTTTTTCTTTACCTGTCCCCACCTCGGCAGAGAGGACAGCTACGGTGAGGATGATGCTATAGTCAAATACAAATACATATATATATACTCATGGGGAACCGCCCGATGAGCTGTAGGCAGAGGGAGGGAGAAGAAGACAACTAACGAGGGGCTGTGACAGACTGTTTCGTCGGAGTTTCATCAACAGACTCGTCATCAGGAGGCTGAACCGTCTACAGTCTGCAGAGTCCCCCAACGGATGATACTGAAAGTCATAATCAACCTTAACCCCACTTACGATTAAGCACAAACGACTGCCCCACAACTGATACCCTGAGGTGGGCACCAACCACTGCCCTATCTATCTATCTATCTATCTATCTATCTATCTATCTATATTTATATATGAATATATAGCCTCCTGATGACTCAGTGAAACTCCGATCAAACAGTTTGTCACAGCCCCTCGTTCGTTGTCCTCTTCTCCCTCTCTGCCTACGGTTTACCTGGCAGTTCTGTTTGACGATATATATCATCAAACAGAACTGCCAGGTAAACCGTAGGCAGAGAGGGAGGGAGAAGAGGACAACAAACAAGGGGCTGTCCATTCCGTTTCGCTTCATTAAAACTCACCGACCGCCACATTCTCAAACTTCTATTATCCTCCCCCCTTTCCT